CCTCTCCCCTCCCCTTCCCCCTCCCTCTCCCCCTCTTTTGGCTTTCTCCACACAGCTGCCAGCAGCTCTCAGCCTCACCCTGTAAATTTTACTTCCAGCGAGGGAGCGAAACTAATATTCCAAGTGTAAAAATCCCAGGGAAGGTTTTGGTTGTCAGGTAGGACAGACGCCTTTCCCTAACTCAGTCAGCTGTGGGATCACTGAGAACATTTGCACTACCAGGTACATGGGGAGAAGGGGTGGAGGGGTACTCCTTGGCCATTCCATCTGTCCTGTTTTCGATATGGTGAACCTCAAATTGCAGTAGTCTGAAGAATTACTTGTAGAGTTTGTCAAAATGCAGATTCCTAGGCTGAGATTCTGATTCCCGGGTCTGCGTTCTCACAGCCCCTCCGCACAGTCAGGATGCAGGAGTCTTCAGGCCGCAGCGTAGGGAAGCCCTGCCCTGAGGTAACGAATGGCCATTTTCTTAAGGCAGTTTCTCTGGCTCCGAAATTAAATTGACCTCTTTGGAGTTCAGTGTGTGAGCACACTGTGTTACTTCCTGACTGTGTCCTTCAGTGCCGTACCTTCTCAAATGCTATCTCCTAAGGCAAAATTTCCTAATATAAATTACTATGCCAGGTCTTTTGTAGATGCTCCCACACTTTTATTTTGTTTGTCTTGCTGTTCGCACGTTCTCTTTTATTAGATGGATTCTGATGTCACAAATGTGCTTCTTACATTTGGTGAGATCTGGTAGAGCACTCAGCAGAGAGGGAATCACGATACGATGATGAGTGGTGGTTAGTTGGACTTAAATGTACAAATACTAGAAAACAGCTGTAGGAAGGAGGGTTTCAGAACTGAAAGTAGATGTTGTCCTTTGGACAGAGAATAGTAATAAACACACCAGGAGACAGCGGGAGGGAGTCGTACCAATGCTAAGACTGAAATGCTTAAAAAAGACGCTTGTTGGTTAATTTATTGTTATAATCTCTATTCTTTAACCTTAGTGGAACCTTTTGGGAAATAATATTTCTGTGGTGAGGACACATTTACATTGAAAGCTCAATTCTTCCCAGTTCAGTTTTTTGTCTTTTTGTTTTTTGTTAAATTCAATAAAAAGTAAAACTTATACTTTTTATTTCAAAATAGTATAAACCCATATTTATTAAAATGTCTATTAGTCTTATCTATGCATAGGAAGAAGTCTGTGGTGATTTTCATCTATGTTAATGATGGTTTTTTCTGGGTGATGTGATTTGGGTTTACTTTTAAGCTTTCATCTTTGTATTTTCCTTTGGTGTTCGAATTATTTATCACGTTTTATTCATTCATTTTCCAGTAGTGATTTTTCTTTTTTTAAAAAAAAAGACTTGAAGCAAAAATGCTGTAATGTTAACAGTAGTTAATTCTAATATTAATGGTTGTTATTTCCCTTTTTGTTCTGTTCTCTATTTTCAAATTTCTGAAAGAAAATTGACTATTGCTATTGCTCAAATGAAGCTAACAAGAAAATTAAACAGATATTGTTAATAATATAATTTGTTACAGTTCTGCATGGTAACCAAGTGTAACCAGTAGTAATTAAGATGTCTTACTAAGGGAAACAAAATATTTTGTTTTCCTTCATCTCGCTCCTACTTGTCCCAAATCAGTTTTCCTTAGTCCCACAGCACGAGCCACCCTTGGTGAGTGAAGGGGGCGGACAGACGTGTCTGAGGGCAGTTGGAGGTGAGTGAGCGCCTGTGCCAGGCGGGCTCAGTGTGTTAGGATCAGGAGGCAGGTTGCCTGCCAAGGTGCGGCTCCTGTTGCAGAGATGATGCGGGATCGGAAGAGGCACTGAGAAGCTCTCTGAAGGTTCATACACACACGCCTTTAAAACGTATAAGTGACAGATATTTCTAAGTGACAAATAACATTAATGTGAATGTAGAAACCATGACCTTTGGGATTTTTTTTTTTCATGTGAACATTTCAGGGTACAAGTCAGAGACAGAGAGATCAAAGTTAACATCTTTGATATGGCCGGACACCCCTTCTTCTACGAGGTAAGAAAGCCTTTTTGAGAAAACCTATATCCAGTATTGTCAGTGGTTTAGCCAAAGATCCTGAATTACCTGAAACAACCCATATTCAAATCATGTGTAAAGATAAGTGTGTTTAGCTGGTGTAAGACATTGTCACTGTTAAAGGACTGCTCTTTTCACTGTGTACCTGAGCCCAGAACGTGAGTGCATTCGTGGCCGGGTACGAGTGATCAGGGTCCGCTCAGCCACACCGGCCCGGCCTGGGTTGGCATTCCTTTCACACCTGGAAAATCCTCTGGTCTCGATTTCTGATGAGGAATCTGCTGTCATTTGAAATGTTTTTCCCCAGAGGAGAGGTCTCACTTTTCTCTGGCCGCTTTCCTGATTTTCCCTTGGTCTTTAGTTTTAGAGGTTGAATTGTGATGAGTTGGCATGGATGTCTTTGCTTTTTCTGTTTGGGGTTTCCTCAGCTTCTTGACTCTGTAGGTGTACGTCTCTTGCCACATTTGAGGAGTTTTAGCCATTATTTCTTTGAGCGTTTTCAGTCCCACCCTATTTCTCCTCTGGGACTCTCCTCTTGTTGTAGTCCCACGGTCCCTGAGGCGCTGTTCTGTTTGTTTGCTTGTTTGTTTCTCTCTCTATTGCGCCTAATTTTATTGTCTGCCTTCTAGTTCTCTGAGTCTTTCCACTGTCCCCTCCATTTGTTGTTGAGCTCAATTTCTAAGCTTTTTCATTTTGGTTATTGTGTTTTTCAGTAATTTATTTTTCTGAAGTCTCCACTCAGCCTTTGCCTGAGTGGGGGGGTGGAGAGGCAGATTTTTTTAGGTGTCTGGCGGAAGTGAGTGGTTATTGTCTAGTTTCTTTGTCTTGTGAGGCTTCCCCTTTCCTGGTCTTCTGTCTAAAGAGAGCAGCCTCTGTTGGGCGTCTGTCTGTCTGCAGTCTGCACCCTGTGGCATTTCCAGATGGACCCCCAGCTCCCTGTCTTGCATGTGTGAGGCAAAGAAAGCCCAGGGAACTCACCATTGTCCGTTCCCTAGCTCCCGAGTTCCTAGCTTGTCTGCCTTCTTCTCTCCACCTTCCCGAGACTTCTTATGTCTGTTTTCTATGTGCTGCCCGGGCGTTTTCCTTGTACTCACAGGAAGAACAGGGAAAAGCGCATCTCTCCATCCTCCTGGAGGGAGAAAAGGAGGCTAATGCACTTGGTGGTGCTTTGCCTTCATCACCTGGTTTCCTCTTCGTAAAAGCCCTGGGGAGTGAGGAGTGTCCTGTTTTGCAGATGAGGAAACTGAGACACCGAGAGGTTCAGGGCCTGCCCCGGTCACACCATAGTAAGTAAGTGTGAACCAGGTGGGCCCGGCTCCAGAGCCGTGTGCCAGTCCACTGTGGCTCTGAGTGTGGAGTCTGAGGTTGCTGCTCAGCTCCAGGCTCAGAGAGACCTGCCTGCCACCCGGGAAAGCCGGCTGCGGGATGGGGTGTCTAATGGCTGTACCTGTTGCTAATATCTGTGTCATTTTTGCCTTAAGTTCTTTTTAATTGTTCACTCAGCTTCCATGTTCTTCCTGAGCAGAACTTGACGTCATTGTGTTATTTTAAGGTCTGCTAACAGCACTTAATGATTGATCGCCTCTGGGGAGTGGAACTGGAGGTGAGGAAGGTCGGGCAGAGGCTGCTGTTTCCATCCCAAGCCCTTCTGCACCGACAGATTTTGTTAATCATGTTACTTTGATTTTGTAAAACGTCCCCTGAAGTGAAGGCCAGCAGATACTGAGATACAACAGCAAATGCTATGAACACACAAAAGAGCGTACTCTGCAAAGTTAATGATTCTCTTCTTTTGAAACAGACCTATATGGGTTTGTACCTTTTCTTATAAAACCACAAAACCCTTCCAACTTGCTATTTCAGATTTTGTGCATCTGTTCTTTTATGTGAAGGTTCGTAACGAGTTTTACAAGGACACACAGGGGGTGATGCTGGTCTATGATGTTGGGCAAAAAGACTCCTTTGATGCCCTTGACACATGGCTGGCGGAAATGAAGCAAGACCTTGGACCTCACGGGAACATGGAAAACGTTGTCTTCGTAGTGTGTGCCAACAAGGTAACCGCTTTGGAAATGGTCCGCTCAGCTTTCTAGATTTATTATGGAGGAGCGCAGCTCTGGGTTTGGGGGAACATAAAAAGGAAAGTTCCTTTTTCAGTAATATAGAAATCAACAGCTTTTCAAAACATAGGTCCCTAACACAAGAACAACAACAAACCAACAGCTGGGTGTCAGGCTTTGATCCATTTTTGTGTCTGGTGGGTACTTGGGGAAGCGGGTGCTAATCGTTACACTCCAATCTGACTGGAGGAGGGCAGTGAGAGGTGAAGAGTGGTCTGGGGAAAGGTGTGCAAGCAGACCCGCCCCCCTCCGTGCGACAGGTTCTCCAGGCACTTGCTTTGCCACAGAAAATCAGCCCCATCCAACATTAGTGGTCGTCTTGTCCCTTTGGGTCCTGCATTTGATGTGCGAGTGCCGGGCTTCATTAAGAACAGTATTTGCCTATAAAGGACCGACAGACCTCACTGGGCCGTCTCTGGCGCTCACTTTGCTGTTTCAGATTGACTGCACCAAGCACCGCTGTGTGGATGAAAGTGAGGGTCGTCTTTGGGCCGAAAGCAAAGGGTTCCTGTACTTTGAAACTTCAGCACAAACCGGAGAAGGAATTAATGAGATGTTCCAGGTAACCCAGCATTTTGTTGTTCTAAAATTTGTGTCGAGACTGCCCATGCCAAATTCTAGTTTAAATTATGAGAAGCAAAAAGGGAATTTCTCATTTGAATGAGCTTTTTCTTTTCAGAAGCTGGTGAGAAAAGGAGAAAGAATATGAATGTGATATGTGTGTGTGATATCTGTCTGCTGTCTATTTCAGACCAGACCTGGCTGATATCAGAGTTACTTGAGGAAATTCTTCAAAATACAGGTTGCTGGGTTCCGGGCCTATTGGAAGTGTAATGTTGTGATGGAGCCAGGAATCTATATTTTGAAAAAGCTTTCTAGGTGATTCCGATGATTATCAAGTTGTTTTTTTTTTTAAATATATCTTTATTGATTTCAGAGAGGAAGGGAGGAGAGAGATAGAAACATCAATGATGAGAGAGAACCACTGATTGGCTGCCTCCTGCACACCCCACACTGGGGATGGAGCCCGCAACCCAGGCATGTGCCCCTGGCCGGAACCGAACCTGGGACCCTTCAGTCCGCAGGCCGACGCTCCATCCACTGAGCCAAGCCGGCTAGGGCGATTATCAAGTTTAACAGCAGCTATTTTACACTTCAGTGGACAGAGAATTTCTTCCAAACCACCTTTGGTTACATTTCTATGCAGATCGGCTTGCCATAGCTAAGATAATCCTATATCGTGGCCATGTGCGGTGGTTACAAATCCAGCCAGTCACACACAAAAACAGGTCTCGCCAATCACGTAGGCAGTAGAAGGATGCATTCACAGTGCAAGCTGAATAGATGGCCACTTTTTAATAATTTACTAATCTTGGATAATTTTAAGGGGAGGAGGCTGTTTAAAGACTAAGTTATAAAGTCAAGTCAACTCTTAATGACAGATCCATTTGGAAGTAAGTGGTGGCATGAATAATGCATTCTTTTCTTACGACTACATCTGATATTTTGGGCATTTTCAGCATTTTGAATAATGTAGCTATACTATAAAGAGTTGTTCTTAATTATTGAGTGGGATCTGACTTAATCTTTTATGCGGAATTTTCTTCTCACAAGCTGTCACCCCTCCTATTGGAAGACAGGTCCCATCCTCGCTGACAGGCTAAGTTGGGCATCAGTAGCTTCTATTTCAAGATCAAATAAGGCTGGTGTTGGCTTGCCACGATTCTCTTCTTGTGAAACAAACCTCTGTGGGTTTGTACCTCTATATGTGCAATAATAATACTTAGCCATTTGAATAGTGTTTACAATTCTGAGGGGTTACATATTGCATCACCTCTAAGACTCGTAGTGTGCGGCAGTTAGCACTCTCATTTCAGATAGGAGAGCACCTGAGAGGAGCAGTGATTTGGTGGCAAGGCATAGATAATAGCTGTAGAGCAGTGGTTCTCAACCTGTGGGCCGCGACCCCTTTGGGGGTCGAACGACCCTTTCACAGGGGTCGCCTAAGACCACCAGAAAACACATATATAATTACATATTGTTTTTGTGATTAATCACTATGCTTTAATTATGTTCAATTTGTAACAATGAAAATACATCCTGCATATCAGATATTTACATTACGATTCATAACAGTAGCAAGATTGCAGTTATGAAGTAGCAACGAAAATAATTTTATGGTTGGGGGTCACCACAACATGAGGAACTGTATTAAAGGGTCGCGGCATTAGGAAGGTTGAGAACCACTGCTGTAGAGGTTAAAGCAGCACTTTCAGTCTGTTAGTTCATTCTCTTTTGGTCTCTGTTGTGTCTCCTGAGATGTTAGCACCCATTCTTACTCCTACTCCATTGTGTGTAATGTCTTTTCCCCCTCCAGTTACTTTCTTTTAAAAAAAAAAACAACAAGTTTGTTTTTTTTAATGATTACAGAGAGGAAGAAGGAAGGAGA